TTGTAATTATTTACACTTGCATCTAAGAAGTTTGTACTTCTAAGATACAATTTGAGTTCTCAAAATCAGTTCCAACTTTTTAGTGAAAATGTGTACAATATGTTTTGCAATTGTCTGCTAATTATAAAGAAACGGCTTAGTGAGGCACAAAGGTCCAATTTACGTTTAAACAATTATATTGTGATAACCACTCCAATTATATCATAATAAATTACACATATCAAACAAACAACTATCTGACTGTGTTTAGAATGTTTCTTCATCATTGTAGAGATGTGTTATTTTCTACTTATCAAAAGTCTGTCACTTGGTCTTTTTTACCCCTTTTTGACAGCGGCCCGGGGGCTTCATGTGACTCTTTAATATTCTTCTGCGCCCCCCTAATAATTCTAAAGTAAAATTTTATTTATTTTATCAACTTTCTTCTATTCATGAATTAATTATAATTCATTATTTTCTTGCTGCATTTATTTATATAGCTTTAACATTTTTGAAATTTTGTATTTTTAAATATTTTTATGATGTTTATTAGTATATTCAAGCTTTCTAAATTATTAAGGCTATTATTGTGGCTATTATTATTATTGTGGCTCAAAATTTTTATAAAAAAAGAGAGAGATATATAAAAAAACGATATATTATACTCTAATAACTAATAACTTCTATTTTAACTAATCCTAATTAAACAACTGAAATCAACTTCTTTGCCTTCTGGAATTTCCTGTAAACTTTAACATACCGCAGAAAATAAATTCAAATAGTATTGTAAATGTATGTTTTTCAATGTTTACACATTCACATAAAACATATTGTCTAACATATACAGTAATAAGTTTATAACAGGTACGTTTTTGTCAGAATGCGGCGCCGTGTTGCAGGCAGATAACGTCTAAACCGGTGCCGAGTGCAAAGGGCTAAACTCCATTTTGTTTATGTTTACATTGGATACCTTGTCCAAAGCACGACCCAACATATGCATATATATTAATGTGTTTGTGTAATTGTGTGTATGTTTATATGATGAATGTATTCAGTGACGTGACACGTAGTATCTTGATCGATATGGAGCTCACGTCTTCTAATTGAATAGTGTTGCTTAAAGGGAAGCAAATCTGAAATAGAGCACTTCAGTGCGTTTACGTTGCACAAACAACAAAACTTTTGCATTTACCTATATTGATCATTATTAATATTTTAACAACTTATAACATATTTCATGTACCTGCATACTATTAATATCACATGGAGGAATCAAAGTTTTGCGTTTAGAAATAATTACATTTTGGTATACCTGCACAAGTAACACATGTGCATACATAGCGGTATTTTAATTAATTGGGTGATATATTCAATTGCGTCATATAAATGCATTGCAAAGCTTTGATATATATATATATATATATATATATATATATATATATATATATATATAATAAAATTATCGCAACATAAAATCAGTATGTATAAGCCTATATATGCAAATTAATAACAAAACTAGTTGGTATTGGTATTTTGCCCCAAGGCTAGTTTCATGAACTTACCGATATGTTTAAATAATAGACTTAATCAATAAAAAATAAATTAATTTATGAGTGATTGAAAATATTCGGAATAAATCGGAGTATTTTCTAAACGCGAATTTTCACAAATCAATATTTTTTATAATTGAACCAGTAAGACTTCAATGGATTAGTAGGGTAGGGCGGGGCTAGTTGAGCAATTTTTTACTTAAACGGATGTAGCTCCTCAATGAAATCTAAATAAATTGCTATACGGCTTAATGGATTTGCTATTTATCGCTTAACAAAAGTGTTGATACTATTTTTTGGTAATAAGTAAAATTTAAAAGCTACAGCTGTTTAAATGCAAAAAGTCAAGTATGCTCAATGTACCCCATAGGTGGGGCAAGTTGAGCACTAAGAAAGTATAATGAAATCATAGGTTCAATGTCGATTAGTGATGAAATAAAATAAGTTTTTAATAACCAGTTCTATATTTATAGTCTTTATTGACAGAAAAAACAAAACTTATAGTAATTTGCTTTGAATAATTAACGAAAAGCAGAATCAACAAAACAATATCGTATCTTTGGAATAATTTTACCATTATATTCAGTATTTTTGTTTAAAATCATTATTACTCATAGACTTAGCTTAAATTTTAAAAATAATAATTAATTTCTGGAAGTTAATGGTAATTGTCTTAGTGACAGAACAAGTTTAGCAACTAAGCTCAACTAACCCCAACTCGGAATTTCGAAATAAAAGTAAGTTTATAAAAAAACCGTAAGTATTATACCCAGAATCTCTGTGCATATTAAAAGTACTATAATTATATGAAAGAATAACATTTACCTGATTGAAAATAAATAACATTTGACAAAACCAGACGAAAACTCGTGATGAATTACTTTTTTACTTTTTGGTCTCAAAATAAACAAAACGCCCGTGAGCCTCACTTATTTGTCCAGCGGCCACTAGCGATCGCGGGATATTTATTTCTTCCAAACCTCTATCTTTCCGCCATATAATGCCTAAAGTTTAGGCATTATATGGCGGAAAGAGCCCTAAACGGACGGTGAATAGTTTTTGAGATATTTTGATTGCTCAACTTGCCCCTATGCTCAACTAGCCCCGCTCTACCCTATGTTTATTAAAACCAAGTACTCTAACGTTATACCAAGTAAATCGTCTGATTTTAATTTTAACAAACGTCAAAAAAACTACTCATTTTCTCAAACATTGAATTTTTAAAATTAAACTACTTGTCGTAAGGCCGTAATATTTCAGTACGTTCTATAAGACCTTGATATATATCTCCAAAAAAAGTTCCATGAAAACTGACTTAATTTTATTTTTCAACAGTTAATTACAAGTAAACGGATCGGTATATTTTTACCTAAAACTAATCAGTATCATTCCCAACTAATATCTTGCGAACAGTTTTTGATTTTTAAACTCGATTTGGTAGTATGAGCTTAAAAGTGGACGAAAAGTTTAACACTCCAAATTACAAAGAAACGGGTCGAACGATCGTCGCACAAAACTGACAAACAATAGTCCTTATGGAGAAACATCTAATAGCTTTTAAATTTTTGAAATCGGTCTAGCCGTTTAAGAAAAAACGTCGATTTACGGCAAAAAATCTATTCACAAACACATTAAAATTAAAATTCAAATTACATTCAATATTCCAAAAAAATGTTGGAGATTAAAAAAAATTTTTTTTTCCGAAAGCAATCGTTTCATCAACACAAGCAGAAAGTTTTTTGAACCATTCAAATCGAATGCTTTATTCTCTCAAAAACGGTAATTTTTTACACTTTTGGCTCAGTATCTCCGAAACGGCTGGACCTGCCTTTGTCTAAAACTAATCACCACTTTGCCATGTCAATAGTAATCGAATGTTTTTTAAACCATGTAAATTAATTGATCCGTGCGCCCGAAAACGTGGACAAAATTTGTATCCATACATACATACACAAACACGCCCATTTTTTTAAGGTATGCCAAAATATTCAGAAATCTTTAAAACCTGAAAATATGCAAAAAATTTTCATTTCAATTTTTTGACGATTATTATAACCTACCCTATGGGAAGACTAAGAGTTATTTCGATTTTCTTTATAAAAAATATGTCCATCACACAAGCAAACGTGAATAAAATATATTCAGAAATGTGAAACCCATCTGGTAAAACTTAATAACGATTGTCCTTGATTAGTTTTAAGTGACAATCCGTTTCTCTGTAATTAACGATTGGCAATTTAATTTGCAGCTTTCTACAGCAGATTACACTTGAATGAAAATACCTCGATAAAATTATTCGCAATTAAGTATTTTATTTGTTTTTAGCCGTTTTGAAAATTCACAAACAATTTTCTGAAATTCAATTGAAGTAATGTGCGCGCACGTTTCCTGCATTTTGTACATCTGTCGGTTACTGAACAATATGTAAAGTGAAAAAAAAAACATATTTATAGCTTTCTCAACTCAAATTACTTTTATTTTTGATTTTGATATTATAAAATGATTGTAAAGTATGTAGGTAAATATTTATAAGAAACAATTTTTGATTCGACAAAAGTTTTGAGTACTACTATGGAAAATTAAAAAAGGTAACAATACTTGATATTAAATTTTTATAACAGAATGGGCTCTATATATATATATATATATATATATATATATATATAGAGAGAGAGAGAGAGACAGACAGAGAGAGATATAGGTTGTCAAATATCTCCCTTCCGCTTTTTTGCGCTTGGTTTACAATACAAAAAGGCGGAAGGGAGATATTTGACAACCTTTATATATATATATATATATATATATATATATATATATAAATTTAATGTTTGTGTGTGTGCGTATATCATGATAAATAGCAGCTGACATGTGCAACCGATCGTGTTCTAGTTGACGTTAATGAAATGATTGATGTTTCCAAATAGTTTATTGATATTTCTTGTTTGAATAAAACTCATACATATTCACGTTTGAATTCAGGCATGTTCATCAAAAATTAACTTAAAAATGTTTCGTTAAATTTTATTAAATCAATACGAAATGATCGCTAACAATTATAAATTGTTATTAGTATGATTTTTGCACAAGTGTATACAAAATCAATCAGAATTACCCACTGCAGGAGGAGCTATAGGCGACATATAGACACAATATCATATAATGTATATACTTATATATTATATCTCTTAAATAAAGATTATTGAACATTCAATTAGTACATTATGCATTGCAAACTTAAAAAATATATTACCAACAAATACTGTTCATTTCTTTATTTTATAGCTGTATATAAGGCATCTTGAGTAATAAGTAAGTTAATCAAACATGGTTATCCCAATTATATAAACTAATAATATTAATAAAAAAATTATATAAAAACAATAAAATTGATTACAAAGTTGCACTGTAAGTTTTAAATCTCATCAGGTTTCGAGGAAACATAAACATGAAACAATATTTGCATTTTCATACCTTTCCTCTTGGAGTGGCAAACTTCTCTAGAAAACCTAGAACAATAGAAAAACACAATTAATGAAAGTTTAATATACTCGTAAACATTTTTTGCCAATTAAAGTTGCTATATTAAATAAAAATATCTATTCAAAATAATTTAATATTAAACCCTTTCTCTATTTGTGTCTCCTATAAACGATATATTGAATATCGTCCATATATTATATAATATGCAATAGTCAAATTATTGAGAATTTCAATTTTGTTGTGAAGTTTAGTTTTTAGTGAAGTATACCTAATTGTTAATTTTAAAGAACATTTTTATTGATATTGATTGGAAAATCCTCAAATTTGTTTTGTAAATAATACTAGTATGACTGGCTGACCCGTACAGCAGTGTTACTCCTGCGGAAAATACTTTTTTAACGACTTAATAATAGTTATTATATTTTTTTATCATATCATTATATGAATTCAATGAAAGAAATTTATAATTTATCATGTCTCTTCTATTTGTTGGTACTGGAAACGAGATAGCCAGTTCCCCGATTGTACGATAAATCTGATTTTCTTATAGCGCAGTTTCTACTACATACGGTACGTACTCACCGCGCTATTGGAGGGTTGACTGCATTGGATTGTGTATTGATTTTAAATGAGTGATCAATAACTAACAATGATATTGATTGAACAGTAACTCTTGCGATATCTTCTATATATATAAAAATAAGTCGGGTTTTCCTTCCTGACGAAATAATTTCAGAACGCACGAACCGATTTCGATAATTTTGCATTCGTTGGAAAGGTCTCGGGCTCCGCAAGGTTTGTAGCTAAGAAAATTAGTGATGCATCGTGCATTTAGTGGTAAATTAGTGGTACATGGTGCATTTCACCCACAGTAATTAAAATTTCGTGTAATAACATTAGTGAAAATTATCAGAATTATGCTTGGTTAAGTCAACTAGCAATTCTTGCCGCAAAGAATAATGATGTACACGCTGAATTTCACCATTCAATCAAAAATTGCTGGTGATTTGGTGACATACCAATAATTCCGACTGGTTTTCCGTTTGACTTTAAACAATTGCAATTTCCAGTTCATCTTGCGTTTGCAATAACAAGTCGCAAGGCCAATCGCTTAGTGTTTGCGGGATAAATTTCAAATAGATTATTTAGAAAATATTTGTTTTTCACATGGGCAGTTATACGTTCACGAGTTGGAAAACCATCCGCTTTGTTTGTGTTAACGTCAGACCAAAAAACAAAAAATGTGGTTTACCAAAGAGCACTTCAATGAAACGGATAATTGGAGGATTCACTTTCATTTACTTAGAGAAAATCAACTGAAAAACACTTCATTTTTGTAATCGAAATAAATTCATTACTGTTGTTCGCAATTTAAATTTATTAAATTTAAATTTTTCCTTTTCAAATATAAAACAAACAAAAAATTTCTTCATCTTTCTCACGAAACCATCTGGTGGCGAAAAGGAGTTCGTCGGGTTTGCTAGTTCTGTATATAATTCTTTTATCTTGATCATTTCTTTGCTATATTTTATTAATGCTTGAAAACGCTTAAATTAAAATAGATGAGTTTAATTACTAAGTTTATATCGATAAAGTTCGTGTGTAGCAAATAATTTTCTTTTGATCGCTGAAACGAACTATATATTATTAATTCGAATGGAATGCCAATAACAATAAAGAATCACTAATGATTAGATGCCCCGATGCCATTATCGCACTTAAGCCCCCAATTTGCTTCGTGTCTTTCTATTGTATCACGTGTCTACCTTAATATCTGTCAAACGGTAAGCTTCGATCAATTAACATTCTTTGGGAACTTCAGTCGCACTACTGCTGGTCAAGCACCAATCCACTTCACTCGGCCTTAACTGTCTCGTTCTATTGTCACAAAGAGATGCACACACACACACACATATGTATATATATATATATATATATATATATATATAATGGGTAGTACAGCTCAAGGAAGGTCCGCGAGCTGAGTTGAACTCCAACTGGATTCAGGGAAGAATAATGTAAGATTTTCCATTGCAATTTTACACCGCAGTGCTCCTGGCTATTATCATTTGGAAATATAATTTTGATCTATGTTTTCAAATGAAAATTAACATCGATGCTGCTGAATATTAGGTTGTCTAGAGCAAAGATCGAACTCACGATCCCATCAACACGAGTCCCTGAGCTTAACATTTACACCATAGAATACATATTAATTATTAATTAATACTTTATTTACTTTACCATGGAATACTTAAATATTTATACAATACATATATTATATTCAATTAAAAGCAAAGTTTTTTAACAGACATTCTACAAGTTATTAAAAATAAAACAAAATTGTGTTCAATATTTTTCAATATACTTTCATATGTTTGAACATCGCTTCCTTTTCAATGTATGAAACTACAAAATATAATAACTAATTTTAAGTTCATTAGCATTTGGTCTTATGACAAGTTGCATGAACTTCGCAAAACAAATATTTCAATTTATAAGTAATTTATACGGACACAAAGTTGGTGAAAGCAATATAATATTAAATAATATTGCAAATTATTCATTGCTCTTCTTTTATTATTGCAAATGATAGTAAAACAAACACGTAAATAATTTAAGTTATAATTAAATCACTTTTCGTAGGATATTTTAGTATGCTCCTTAAGATCAGGTTCTCTATCGGCGTACCAAGTTTAATTAAAATTTTCAAGAAATTTTAGAAATTGAGAAAATGTTGAAAAACCTAGCTTGAATGACAAGGGAAAAACACGATGCTCATTGTTTGAAATTTTGATGAATTTTTAAAATTAAAAATTTTTACATGAGGCCGTAATATTCTATTCTATGAAACGTTGAAATTTATCGCCAGAAAAAGTTTAACTAATATCGTCGCTTTTTTTTCGAAAATTCTTAAGTAAACGGTTTGCCAAATTTTTGCCAAAAACTAATCAGCACGATTCTCATCCAATATTTTTCAAACAACAATTTTAAGAAAACGGTTCGGCTGGTAGTCTCACAAAACTAATCAACGCAAGTCCTTTTTGAGTTACATCGAATAGCTTTAAAGTTTTTTAAATCGATTCAGCTACAGAAATCGGCTCTCATACATACACATACATCCTTTTTCCAAGTTTCGCCGTAATCGATTCAGGAGGACTTGAAACGCCCAGAAAACATAAAATTAGCAAATTGGATTTTATCTCCAACAAATAATCTTCTTCTTTGCCTAGTTGGAGTGCACATTACATTTATAACTTATTATAGACTGGTATTACTAGAAGACAACCCAATGGTAGTCCTATCCCTTTTACAATAAGATTATAAATATTATTATCTATATTTTAAGAACAATATGATGCCTTGTCAGCGTCTTTCTAACTTAAAAAGTGATATTATTACTACTTGATATTAGGTTGTTTGAGGTGGTAAGTCAACTTGGAACCACGTAGATGCAAAACAAAAGCTTTTACCACGAACAATCTCATATATACAAAATGCAATATTAGAAGGCTTTTTTAATGTATAACATTAAAGCATTAATAGCCCATACACTCTAAAAATATTTATTTTATAATTTTATGATGTTTTTACATCATATGTTTTGACAATAGATTTACGTCATATTTCAGTGAAACAATACGCAGTATTTGTATGCTTTTTTAATGCTTTTATAAATTTCTATAAATTCCATTGTTATGTTTTTTGTTTATTGCACTTTTTTATGGGTGAACATGGTTTCATAAATATCAACTTTTTTTATCATCATCAGTGCAAACAGATAAAAATTTTAAATGTTAAACTATATATAAAATTTATAAATATATAAACTTTAAATCATACAATTAATTTCATATATATATAATATGTACATATACATAAATTATTCTTATTTTTATTACTGTTATCATTGTTATTTATATTATTATTACATTTATTATATATATATATATATATATATATATATATATATATATATATATATATATATTGTTTTTAAACCGTAGCAGAATAGCTTATAAAATTTTATGTAATTTTGATTGCTGTTTATTAATTAATAATATATATATATATATATATATATATATATGTGTGTGTGTGTGTGTGTGTATGTATGTATGTAGGTATGCATGTATGTATACATGAATTTGTGCATGGATATTCGGATGCAATTATTTGCCCATGTTTTCGAGAGAACGGATCAACCAACCCATTCGCATGATTCACAAAATATTCCATTTATTCTTCATATTGTATAACGTTAGTTATTGAATAATAAAGCTTGTTGTAGCACACTATTGTACCTCAAATATCGACTTTGAATTTTTTTCTGAATTTTTACGATTTAATCTTTATTCACAAATATATAAAAGATAACAGTAAGAACCCGATCAAATATATTCTTTAGATATTATGTTTATATATATATATATATATATATATATATATATGCGTATATATAAACTAAATTTGTTTATTTTTGCAGGTAACAATTTTGGTAACAAGACATTTCTGATGCATAGGCGAAATAGTTTGGTAAGTCATTTTTCTTTCATTGCATGCTGTTATATTTCTATAAGCTTATTAACTTCCCGTAGGGTAAGTTATAGTAATCGCAAAAAAATCGAAAATAAAAATTTTTATATATCTTTACGTTTCAAAGGTTTCTGAACATTTTGGCATACCTTAGAAAAAATGGATGTATGTGTGTGTGTGTGTGTGTATATACGTGTGTGTATGTATGTGCGGATACAAATTTTCGTCGACGATTTCGGGAACACGGATCAACCGATTTGAATAATTCAAAAAGCATTCGATTCGTATTGATAAGGAGACGTGCTGATTAGTTTTTGGCGGAGACAGGTCTAGCCGTTCCAAAGATACGGGGCAAAAAGTGCCAAAAACGGTAACTCAGTTTTTAAGAGAACGGAGCGTCCGATTTGAATAATAGTAGAGATATGGAGGAAAAAGTAAAAAAATGAGCCATTTGGCGGTCAAAAATGATCATTAGACATATGCACATCAA